TCAGATGTTGCACATTTTACCACACATCACCCACCCATATACAGACACATTGCCTGATAGTAGTGTTATGATGTTGCACATTGTACCACATAACACTCACAAATATACAGACACATTGCCTGATATAACTATTCAGACGTTGCACATTGTGCCACATAACACTCACCCATATACTGACGCAGTTCCGAGTAGAAGAAGGAGGGCTATCATGGTTTCTGAAACAGGTGAGGAACATCAGTCTAACACTCATGAATGTCTCATTGTACACCCAAAGAACTGTGACCGCCTTGAACATGAGAGTCATGGTAAAATGACACGGGGTCTGAGTATATACAAGAACCAGCAAGTGTTGACCGTTTAACGTGGTGTTAGAAGAGGTGACGGGGTCTGAGTATATAGAAGAACCAGCAAGTGTTGACCGTAAACGTGGTGTTAGAAGGGGTTACGAGGTCTGGGTATGTACAAGAACCAGCAAATGTTAGAGGAGGTGACAGGGTCTGGGTATATACGAGAACCAGAAAAAGGTTGTATTAACAGTGAATTAAATTGTGGGTATGCAAGCTTCGAGTTAACCTGAAAGGTTTATCACTACGTCCATACGTTACCTGTTGAAGTTTTCAAGCGGGATCTTCCACTAGAAGTGTTATCTCTTATATAATGTGTTGCAAAGGGAGTGGTGCAGATGGAGTACCTTAATTAATTCACAGCAGATTTAACACAGCAGGTTAGGTCAGGGACTGCATGTTTAGATAGAAGAAAATGTTGAATCCCAAACTATGTAGTGGGTCACGTAGGATGGGTACAAGAAGTATCTGGGGATATATTCTACGCATGTACCCATCGTTATTCCGATATTCCTGTTGTAGAACTATTAGACCCGAGTGTCGTCTTGTTGGGGTCTCGTCCCCAGCAACATTGGAGAGGCGACTCAGTGGATCGGGGTGTCAGGCCCGATGCTACCACGTCATCGTATCATGTCTGCGAGGGACGTTGATCATAATACCAAATACCGATTTGTCTGGTCCAGCCTCGGCAATTACAGGCCGTCGTCATATACTTAGAATATTGTCGAGTGAAGCGTAAACCAGAAAAAAACTAGAAGAAAGAGTACTAAATCAACATTGCTAGAAGCGCTTGTTGTATCTCTAAGACGTGGCCGGCCATTCGGTGGCTGAGTTGTGTTGGAAATGCTAGAAAACTGCTTTTCTGGCTTCATTTAATAAATACGAGTCAAAGGACTATAAAAAGAGCATTTATTAAAATAACGTAAATTGCCCTAATCTAGCCTGTCCTTACTGACACTGTGATTAAGCTTAAAATGTACTTTTACAGGTAAAATGATGATAAACTTCGAAAATATTCGTGTGTTGTCATGCATGTATGAAATGGCCTATAACCTGAGATAATTACCTAACACCTGTCCCCAGGTGATGACCTCACACCGCCCCGTGCATTCTCCCAGGTGCACATGTCACCGAGTTGGGGGTGGTCTCAAAATATTGCTGTTATTGTACTTAAATGACATGTGCGTTGGTGGGTTAGCAATTTAGGATATATATTGCATTATATTTGCTTGGAAACGGGATGAGTATTGGAAGGTTGCTGTTTTGGAATCCAGAAGTATTTGTTGTTCTACAGATGATTTCTTGAGTCTTGAGGTAGCATTTATCTCCGCTGATGACGTATATGAATCTGTACTTTTGAATGTCGTGTTATGTCTTGCCACGAACTCTTTACACTTGGCCAAAATGGGCACAACGGGGTTGAACTCACAATGTCTGACTGGCGTACGTAACACAACCTAACCGTGTTGTGCCGCCAGAACATATGTCGTGTTCTTATTTCGCCGATATTTTCTACATGAGTTGAACTTTCGTTTGATATGGTCTGAAACCGACGATGTCATATATTCCTGTATGGTCGCCTTCAGACTACTCATGGTTTGGGAGACAGTATCTGATTCCCTGGCGTTATATTAACTGTCGTTATCCATGACAATGACACTGGGGTTGTTTATAATAGGGAATAGCTGAAATTCCAACCAGTCTATGAACACATCACCTCCTATGATTTCCTCATGAAATCACCAGTTTTCTTTTTCGCCTCGAAAACTAGCACACATCCATCAATAAGTCCCATATCATGGGTTGCAGCGTGTAAAACAATGACACGATTACCTTTACCTGATGGTACCATGGGTGCTTTTAGTCAGCGGAATGAGACATCAAGGTAAATTATCTGGACTTCCTTACTGTGATAGTTATAAATGGTTCGGAGATAATGTGACTTCATAAACAGGATGGAATATTTTCCCCTGAAAAGTGCTCGGTCATCGCCACGCGCAGTGTATCGAAATCCCATCTCTTGGAGAGCAATAGTTAGTGCAGTTGACGGGGGCACGGGTGGCCCAGTCGTCTAAGGCGTCGCGATTCGCCGGGCAGAGTTGCGTCCCTTTGGCACGCCAGAAACCTATGATTGTGGGTTCGAATCCCGGTTCGCCCCGATTATGTTTCTAGGTTTGTCAGCACCATACCCGTGCTCGTGGGTTTCACCGTAGTGGTAAACGTCTGAGACCTGCATCACTTCGGGCTTTCCTCCCACATTAAGCTGACACGCCGCGATATAACTGGAATACTGTTAAAAGCGACGTTAAACCCAACTCGCTCACTCACTCACTAGTGCAGTTGACATTAATTGTATCTTTAATTCCTCCCTGATTCTACTACAAGTCAGGGTTACCTTCTGCTCATAAAGCTTGTACACTATACGCCTAATCACATCTGTATCAAAGCTGTCTAATATCCTCTTACGTCCCAGTTTTGTTTTTGAGACCACCCCTATGCCTGTTTTGTTTTATTTATCATACCGTAGTCTTAATGGTATGAATTGAAAACCCCATAGCCTGGGCAGTTCGGTAATTCACCCTATCTAAATTAATAAATGATTTCCCTCTATCTCTCTAAGTGTAAAGAACTTGTATACATTTCCCAGTACAGATCGTGTACCATGGTTATGGCTATGCAAGTGTAATGTAACATGCTTCATGGGAGCAATGTTAACAAAACAAACGCAAGGTCATTTTGTCATTTAAGAAGATGCACATCTACAATTTTCTTCAAATGATTTTTGTGTGTGGATTAGATGTTTTATGAAGACTACATTATTATCATTATAACGGAGTCACGTGCGCATATTTCTATAGTCATTTTCAGACTGTCACCATTGGACTTTCTTTCGGATTTGTCTCCTGTAAACTTGTCGACAGGTGAGTGAGTGAGTGAGTTGGGTTTAACGCTGCTTTTAACAGTATTCCAGTTATATCGCGGCGTGTCAGCTTAATGTGGGAGGAAAGCTCGAAGTGATGTAGGTCTCAGACGTTCACCACTCTGGTGAAACCCACGAGCACGGGTATGGTGCTGACAAACCTAGAAACATAATTGGGGCGAACCGGGACGCAACTCTGCACGACAAACGCGGCGCCTTAGACGACTGGGCCACCCGTGCTCCACCTTGTCGATAGGATTACTTGTGACTGAAATACTTCAAACCACAGGTAGGGCGATCTGTAGTTACTCGATAATTCAATTACTACTGTACAAAAAGCAGTTTTCTGGCATTTCCGACAGTACTTTGTTGACAGTGCAGGTGGTGTTAGAGGAGATGAAAAGGTTGGGTATGTACAAGAACTAGCAAGTGTTGACAGCACTCGTGGTGTTAGAGGAGGTGACGGGGTTGGGTATGTACAAGAACTAGCAAGTGTTGACAGAGCAGGTGGTGTTAGAGGAGATGACGGGGTTGGGTATGTACAAGAACTAGCAAGTGTTGGCAGCACACGTGGTATTTGAAGGGGTGACGAGGTCTGGTTATGTACGAGAATTAGCATCTGTTGACAGCACTCGCCTTAGGCATATACCTAATTAAAACAGGACTAATTAGTCGCATTTAAACCCCAAATAAAATATTAAAACCAAAACTACCTTATCTAACAACCACCCAACACACACAGCTCCCTTAGTTCGTCCTCCACCCACTCTTGGCTTTCATTCCAAATCTCAAAATTTCAAAATTACTATATAAGCATCCCTTAAAGCCCCCCTCCTGGGTTGCACAAACTCACTTTTGCCCTATTCGGAAACACATTAAATGGCCTGGCCGTGTGCGACATACGCTTGCGATCGGAAAGCGCACGTTAAATCTCCAATGTAAGTAAGTAAGTAAGGAAGCACTCGTGGTGTTAGAGGAGGTGACGAAGTTGGGTATATACAGGAATTAGCAAGTGTTGACGAGGTCTGGGTATATACAGGAACTAGCAAGTGTTGACGAGGTCTGGGTATATACAGGAACAAGAAAGTGTTGACGAGGTCTGGGTATATACAGGAACTAGCAAGTGTTGACGAGGTCTGGGTATATACAGGAACAAGCAAGTGTTGACGAGGTCTGGGTATATACAGGAACTAGCAAGTGTTGACGAGGTCTGGGTATATACAGGAACAAGCATGTGTTGACGAGGTCTGGGTATATAGAGGAACAAGAAAGTGTTGACGAGGTCTGGGTATATACAGGAACTAGCAAGTGTTGAGGAGGTCTGGGTATATACAGGAACTAGCAAGTGTTGACGAGGTCTGGGTATATACAGGAACAAGCAAGTGTTGACGAGGTCTTGGTATATACAGGAACTAGCAAGTGTTGACGAGGTCTGGGTATATACAGGAACTAGCAAGTGTTGACGAGGTCTGGGTATATACAGGAACTAGCAAGTGTTGACGAGGTCTGGGTATATACAGGAACTAGCTGGTGGTGACGAGGTCTGGGTATATACAGGAACTAGCAAGTGTTGACGAGGTCTGGGTATATACAGGAACTAGCAAGTGTTGACGAGGTCTGGGTATATACAGGAACTAGCAAGTGTTGACGAGGTCTGGGTATATACAGAAACTAGCAAGTGTTGACGAGGTCTTGGTATATACAGGAACAAGCTAGTGTTGACGAGGTCTGGGTATATACAGGAACAAGCAAGTGTTGACGAGGTCTGGGTATATACAGGAATTAGCAAGTGTTGACGAGGTCTGGGTATATACAGGAACTAGGTGGTGGTGACGAAGTCTGGGTATATACAGGAACTAGCAAGTGTTGACGAGGTCTGGGTATATACAGGAACTAGCAAGTGTTGACGAGGTCTGGGTATATACAGGAACAAGCAAGTGTTGAGGAGGTCTGGGTATATACAGGAACTAGCAAGTGTTGAGGAGGTCTGGGTATATACAGGAACTAGCAAGTGTTGACGAGGTCTGGGTATATACAGGAACAAGCAAGTGTTGACGAGGTCTGGGTATATACAGGAACTAGCAAATGTTGACGAGGTCTGGGTATATACAGGAACAAGCAAGTGTTGACGAGGTCTGGGTATATACAGGAACAAGCAAGTGTTGACGAGGTCTGGGTATATACAGGAACTAGCAAGTGTTGACGAGGTCTGGGTATATACAGGAACTAGCTGGTGGTGACGAGGTCTGGGTATATCACTGCAAACACGAAAACGTCGTTTTTTCCCGTATATGGTCATTGGACGGAAAAACGACGTTATTTGGACGTTTTTAAACCATCGTTTTTCCGTCCAAATAACGTCGTTATTTGACATCGGAATTTACTGGGAGAGAACGATAGCGT